GCCGTAAGAAATTGACCAATTACAGTCGAATCCGAGAAGAATAAGCGACTGTGATTCGCCCATTTCTTATGGCTTAAGGCTTAAAACCCTGTTGTAGACCCGAGGTAACGCATAACACATGAGGCATAAGAAATTGAACCAACCAGAGTTCTCTATTACATAGAAGGGAAAGAAACGGAGAACTTTGATTGGTACATATTCTTATGCATTACGTGTTATGCATTATGCAAGAGTCTGTGGTCCCCGCTTTAAGTTGTAGACGTAAGTAACGCACAAGCATTGGCGTATGATTTTAACTTATGTACATTGCCATAGGCAATGCCGCGACGCGAAAGAGAGAAAGAGAGGGTTATAAACTTCGCTCTTTCTCTCTTTCGCGTCGCATCGTAACGCGATGGACGACTCGACGCGTGACGCGCTCAGTGGATACGTACCATAAGGACTATTGCTGGATTCACACTGTATCCGACGAGCGTCGTATGACACTCTCCAACCAATCAGAAAACAGAATTCCGATGGATTTTGCTTCGTATCATCAGAATCCTGTTTTCTGATTGGTTGCAGAGCGTCGTACGACGCAAATCGAATGCAATGTGAATCCAGCATATGTCACATTGGGTGCATCCAGAAGCACGACCGCTCACTGAGCGCTCGGTGAGCTCTTGCATCTGATTGGCATATTCCATTAGATCAAAAAATATATACCAAACAGATACAAGAGCTCAATGAGCGCTCAATGAGCGGTCGTGCTTCTGGATGCACCTATTGAGTGATTCATGCGGCAGCGGAACAAAATTCAACCAATCACGAAGTACTTTTATATTTTCTGCACGATATCTGTTTTTATTAGTACTTTACGATTGGTTGAATTTTGGGTTTGTCTCGTCGCATGCTCCAATATGTTCCAATATGCTCCTACCATAGCTCCCACTCAGTCCAACGCGCTTGATAGAGTGAGTAGGAGCTATGGTAGGAGTATGTTGGAACATGTTGGAGCATACGACGCGAACAAACCTTTTGTTCCGCTGCTGCCGTGAATCGCTCAATGTGACATCAGCCTTATGGCCGCAGCACACACTCTTTACATAACGCATAATACATAGTGCATAATGGAATCAATCAATCGAAATTCTTCTTTTCCATGAAATGAGAGGAAAGGAAAGCTTCTGATTAATTTGATTCGCTTATGCACTATGCGTTATGCGTTATGCAAAAGCTTGTGTCTGGACTCTAACAATTGTCACATAACCACAAGTTTTTATCTTTTTAAGTTTTCCATATTAATTTTCGAGTTGAGCAAATAAAAGATACATATTTGAGGTTAAACTTTAATAGGTCTTCTACAATAAACCGCAAGTCAGAACGTCAGAAATTTT